CACGAAAAGGAAAAGAATCGGCGACAGGCCACATCAGGCCTACACTTCAGCGCCGACATCACTATGTTATGTTATGTTAATGCAGTACTTGAGAATTCAGTCAGTTTATCTTAACTCCATGCAACTCTCACCATATTTTCCAATTTCTTACGAGTTTGAGTACAGTAATTTTTGTTCTGCATCGCTCAAAGGGAATTTCAGCGCTACACTTTGATTGTTGTTGAATGAATAATAAGTGTTCAGTTGCATCTCAATTAACGTTTGAAATTGTTTTCATTAAAATATTTTAAGTAGATTTTATGAATATCAACTTTCCTTTTTGATTACTGCTTGCAATCCTTGCCTGCTAATGTATTCCTTTTTTTCACAGAGTTTGACGCGTTTACAGCGGCAAGAGAAGACGCTCAGCGACCGACTTGCCCAGACTGTGTTTTGCCGCACGACCGCCGCCAAGAAGTTGACGTCTGCCCAGCAGCAGTGGCAGGAGCTGCGGCAGCGTTGTGAGCAGCACGGGCAGCTGCATTGTTCCAGTACTGAATTGCAGCACATTCTCGATCATGCGCCGCTGCAGGTAATTTTTTATTCAGCTGATTTGAAAAATTGAATCTTATATTTCATGAATATTTTCCGTAGAAATTATTCAGCAGCGTAGGTCCTGCCTTTGCCAATTGTACAATACTTAGTTTACGTAAGGTTGATGACAAGAACTTGGTGTTTGCTGTGACCGCTCTTGATTCAATATAAAATTTTGCATTTGCATTTAGGTATAATTGTTATGTATTTAATGAGAGAAGAGTTGTTTGATTACGTTGATTACGGTCAGATTTTGTCCCCTGACATTTTCCTGTACTAATTTTTTGTTTGCTCTACGATTGTCTTATGATAATCTTTGAATGTAAATAATGTAAATGCATCTGTGTAGGAAGCGCTACGAGTGCAGGAACAAGAGGGGTCTTCTCTACGCGTATTACTGAAGGAGAGCCTCGGTGAAGTGAAAGAAGGTCACCGCCTGCAATGTCTCCTGCTTCATGCAGTGTGTGGTCTGCACGAACGCCTTAACAGCAATCACACACTCACCAACAATTTGTTTCAGGTCAGTGGAATTTTACCTGGTCTACCTTATATGAATTTTTAATTCCGTTGTCAAGCTTGGCAGGCAGCCGTCTTCTTTTTAAATCAATTGATAATAGATAATCCAACCATTGTCGCTGTAAATTATTTCATTAAGATAGTGTTCAAAAAAGTCACCTATTATGCAGAGATACAGATACTATTTTGCTGCAGCAGGTTTTGTGGGATGAGTTCTTGGAAAGTTATGATCTTTTTCCACTTCTTTCACTTCCTAATTGTTAGACTGACCTCCTGGAAAAAAAATTGAGCAACAGACTGCAATAATTGTAATTTTCGCTCATCGTGTTGAATAGAAAGAATTAACAAGCTCGGACAAATAATCAAGCTTTGTTTCTTTAGAATTGAAATCCTCATCTTCCCTGATTCAACCGAGATGAAAGTGGTAACTAATCGAAATCATTTTGAAAACGCTAATCGTGTTCATTGAGATGACATTGACCAAGAGACTTATCGTAGTTCGGCACTGAAACACCGAAGTACTGATAAATGTCGCATTTTATGTTACAATAATACAGCCGTCTGATACTTCGCAAATTTGCCACCTCGTCTTGGCAGAGCTTCATACAAATCTGTCCCTGTTCTTGCAGCTGAAGAATTTACACCTCCAAAGTTTCCAAAGACACCTAAAAGATCATCTCTGAAGCCACGTGCAAGTTGAGAGGAGAACTGAAGAATGTTTGTGAGTGTTCGGTGAGCGAGTGTATTAATCTGGTCCTGGTATAACCCATGACTAGATGTACACTTGTTCATCGCGCCTCATCCTCGCATCTGTGATGCCTCTGCGCAACCGAATATTCAGACTTGCTCATCCATGACAACTTCTGCAATGTTGCCCGGCTGCGCTGGACAAAAGTTGCTGCCTGTGATTTGTTTAATTTCGCCTGGACGGGATTAATGGGACGATATCAGCAAAAGGACCATTTAATTAAAATTTTAACCGTGTTGATTCGTATAGGTTCTTTTAATTATTATATTCTGTTATCATTTTAATTATTATTTAGTTTTGTATCATAATCATCATCAATTCTAATTTGAAGGCTGTCCAAGTTTTACCATGAATTTAAGTAGTTTATCTATTCTATTACTATGTACATTGGTAAGTAACATCAAGTAACATCCACGCTGTGCAGAGTGTGGTGTCGGACCTGGACGAATATCGCATCGCGTGGGCGGACCAACGGATTGAGGAAGAAGAATGTGCAGCTGGAGGAGACAACCCAAAGCCTGCCTCCTCAGAGCCTGCCATCTTACCGCCCGAACTGGAGTGGCTCACGAGACTCGACGCCGCTCCTGCCACCGCGGGAGAAAATGAGACGCCTCCTGCAACGCAGCTACCTCCTCTCCCTGCTAAATCTCTCAAGTTCGTTATCTCATTCCTGAATATTATTCACTCTGCTGTTGGTACCTTTTTTTAACAGATTTCCTTTTGTGTGTCTCGCCAAATCACTTCAAAATATCTGTTTCTCTCAATTTTTACTTTAGTCCCGCTTATAATTGGTGCGTTTCTATTATCTTACATTTAGCTTCGTTGTGAAGTCTCGCACTGACTCGAATGATCTTGCATTGTCATGTTTCTATTATTGAAGCAAATAATTTGGTACCGAAACTTTTATTTTCGTGATTTTTTTCTGAATGTACTATTATAAATATTTACTCAAATATTCCTCTCATATTCAATGTAATATTGATATTCATTCCTTAACGATCTTGACGTTTCATTTCTAAACATCTAAAATGTTTATTCTTTAAAATTTTAAAATGTTAATTACTTGAATGTTCCTTTGGCTGTTGGTACTTTGCCATTAGATGATTGTTTAGTTGACATCCCAGCCTTTGTTTTATCCTAATTATGAACAAAATTATTCATTGGTATTCCTGTGCAGGAAATCGATCTTGAAGGGCAGCAGCAGCGTGCTGGACCTGCAAGATACGCACACGAGTCCTCTTGTGGTGCAAGCGATTGCTGTCACTGCCGAGCAGCTTCATAAGTCTACTCGCGCCAACACGCTGAACAACCAGCGCCTGTCCACTGCACCTGTCGACTTACATAAGGAGCCCTTGCAGCCTACAACTCCTACCATCGCTCAGCTTATCTCAGTGCCATTGACGTCCATTTCATTTAACCCCACACAATCTTTGAATTCTGTTTCTGCATCTGCGCAATCGAATTTTCCGAATCATTTATCATCTTCCGTTGCGTCAGTTTCATCCACAACTGTGCAATTTACTGCCTGTCCGTCAATTTCTTCCAGTATTGGTGGCGGCGAAAATCACATGTGTATACGGGATGGTATCACTGCCTCGTCATCTTCAAGTTTTCCTCGAATAAAATTGTCCGAAACGATTGATCTTGACGGCTTCGATGAAAACAACTCACCAGTTTTGCTCAGTCACCTCCACTTTAATTCTTCTGTTGCAACCACTTCATCTTACTCCGCAGTGTCTCGTCCTCTATGCCTCGTCGAAGGAAGCAACGCTGCTCCTCCTGTAATTGCGGATGGATCTCGCAATATTTTTTCAGTTAACAGTACCTGGGCTACACAGGCGTCCATGACCCCATCACACTCACAAGCGTTACCTTCCGCTACCGCATCCATTGTTAAATCCACGCTGCAACGTCAGAGTGCCACTCGCAATCTGGGAGTATATATCCCGAGCTGTAAATTAATTCCAGATAAAACAGATTCGCAGTTCATTAACAATGTACCAGGATCGCGCTCTGGCATTCGTTTCTCCGACACATTCTCCATCACCCCATCTAAATTTGTTTCGGAACATCAGTTTAACATTTTGCCTTCAGTTTCTGATCTCAGGAATCCATCTATTTTAAATCCAACAGCTAATGGCTATCCTAAGTTATTTGCAAGTTCTTCTTACGCTACATTAAACGCAACAGTTGATTTATCGGATACTGGAAAAAAAATTACGCCTGTTGAACAAAATCCCACCGTATCTTCGGCATCGGTTTCGTATTCAGGTGGCGTTCCTGGATTGGCGCTACTAAATGACTGCTCTAATTTGCTTCATTCATCTTCGAAAGGCAATGAAAACAGCCAAATCAATAGCACTTTCATCTCCAACTCCTGCGTTGAAGAGACATCTGACGGACCATCAACGAATCCCTACAATGAAATTCGTGGAGCTACAGAAAGCAATAAAACGAAGTTGGATTTAAACGGCAACTACACAACGCGTTCTGAGCAGCCTGATTCTGATGGTGGGTTTTAGGAATTAAATCTTCAGAAACCTTTATCGTATTAACTAGGATTCTCCGGTTTGATCTAATTTAGTATCTTAAACTCTAGCTTAAACCGATGTTGTTGCATTGCTTTCTCATTAAAGTTTTTTTTATTACAGTTAGGTTATTCGTTATTTTTGCCATTTCTGCTGTTGTTGCAAGATTTTCTATCATGACTAACCAGTTATATTCTGAATTATATATTTAGTTCATTTTTTCAATCCTGTTTGACTGCTGAGTTATTTCAAGACAAAAATGTCTAGACTGGACAAACACTTACTGTCTCACCCTATGCATAACTTGCATGTAGTTGTTTACTTTGTGTTTTCATATATTTAATGAGCAGGTTGTTAGTAGCGTGGGGCTTTTTGGATTGTCACTGAATGATACTGCATTTTACTACGCAGTCCATCCTTGATCAATGCTCACCAAAGTATTATTTCGGTCATTAACATTAGTCTCCCACTCTATGGGTAAACCATTCAATGTACATTTGTGCAGGCGAGGACGTCAGCGAGGAGGATGCGTGTCAGGAGAACAGATCATCTGCTCGCCAGCTGCTCTTCAATTCTCCCGACGCTCAGCCTGCTGGTTGCCAGCCCTCGCAGAATTCGACTTTCTGTGTAGAGCCTTCAGGTCATATCCTCACAGCTTGGCTTAACTCTCCGTTATCAAGTTGTTTAATTGTTGGCATTGTACTATTTCTCCAGTTTTCATTAGAATTGGTTGAAACCAGTTGAAAAATAATCAGTTTTTATTAAAATTGGTTGTTGTCTTCCTTATTGTCAGAGTAAAAGCATTTAATTTGGATGCTAAAATGAAATTTTAGCATTGACCTGCTTTGAGATTTATTCGTTACCCTCCACTAGTCGCGATAAATTGATTATTCGTCACGAAATTGTTGAGTACTTTTTGTGTGTTATAAAAGTTTAAAGTGTTCCTTATTGTATTTATTTTCACTCGTTCTCCAGTTATGTAAATGTCATCTTAGTTAGATTTTCATGCCCTAACTAATTTTCTACGAACAGAAGGAAGTGTTGAGAACCTGTTGCCGCTCAACCCGTTGGAGCTGCTGGAGATGTCTACATCTTGGTCGCTAAAGGTTTGGTAACTTGCCCAATAACATTATCTTGTGTTTTTTTTGCCCTTGGTTTTTACCTCAGGACACCTCAAACTCTGCATTATAAACTTACTTGCTTCCCTCATTGAGGTGGCGTAAAAAATTTCTGTGAAAGTAAAGGCAAATTCTTGCCATCTGTCTTCTCCGTCAATTACGTATATAGTCTTTATTGTCACGGTAATCGCCCTAATTCTAAATAATTGCCTGCCGGAGAAAAAATAGACGCCAAAACGTTGTTTGTTGTTTATTGTGAACATGTTCAGCTGCGTGGAACTTTTATCTTGATTTAAGACAATTAACTTACTTGCCGTATTCAGACAATTAACTTACTTGCCCCTATTGCATTTCAGCTGAAGAGCATTTTGAAGCACAGCAACTCGAGCAGCACCGCTCGCAGGTACGAGGTTGGGGGAGGTCAGATCAGCAGAACCGCGGTCGCCCGCTTGCTGTCGAGACGCAACTTGTCCGCCTCCTCGTCCCTGCTTAGGAGAACTTCAGCTCAGTCGGCAAGCCAGAGCCAAACTCTGCGCAGAAAGGTGGGGTATTTTTTCGACTGTTGTGAACTCTTGTATTATGATCTAGCAAACTTCACGTTTTATTTTAGTTACGTTCAGATTGTTTCAGACTGTGTATACTGTATAGCTTGATAGTTCTTTATTTTTCAAATTATAGATGTTTGTTACCATTTTAAAGTGAACAATTCGACAGCAGTAATTCTGGACACTTTCTGATTTTGGGATACGTTTTCAGACAGTTCATTCAGATTTATTGTTTGGCATATTATTATCAATAAAAATTTCTAACTGTTTTTGTTATGAGTTATACCAAGTCAGGTATCTAATTATCATTGACAGGATTTGCAATGCGCCGCGTAATGAGCTTCAAGAACAGGCGTTACCATCAGCACCAAATGGAGAACCAGGAGAACTTAGCTCCACGTATCTCAACGAACAAGCTTCTCTCTTCCGCGTCGTGCTCAAATCTCACGTCTTTTGCCACCGCTACCACCACCGGCAGTGCTTCTAAGTCCCTCAACTGCTGGAGACCTTGAAGTCGCGCGTCATCTTGCCTGAAGCGTTCCCTCTTGTATCTATTGTATCTGTACAGTGACGTCTATGTTTAATTTGCNGTTTAATTTGCTTCATTTACTGCCGATTTTGTTCATAATATTGGAAAACTTCGAGGAAAAAGTTTCGCTCACGAAGATTTCAGTCATTTTTCTTCTATTTTGTACATTGATGGTTTAGTTAGACGTAAGGCGTAGCTGGCTCCAAGATATTTTTGAAAAATCCATTGCTTCACTGTTTTATTGGCAGTTTTTCTATTTGAGTATTGGTTTCTCGAACCATGCTTGCCATATTTGCTACAAATTACCCGCAAATTAATTGGCTAAGGTTGAATAGGTGTCTCTTATCGTCCATTGAGTAATGAAATCGAGTATAGATAAAATGAAAAAACCGTTCATTTACTACAGTCCGGTTAGTTAATTAACCATGCTATTAATTATTTTGCGTGTTGTTTATATGGTGATTTTTACGGTAGTGCAGCATCTCATTGCGATTGATAGTATTTTGGACTATTTTCTTACACGATTCTGCTGTTTAAAATGACTGAATCTAGATCGTGCATTAAACTTTACGCACCGTCTCTAGGTCAACTATCGTTTAGAGTTCTTTGTACGCATGAAGTTTATCTTCCTTCTCCCTGTGCTTAGTTCTAATTTCATTGTTCGATTCTTCTATATTTTTATGCTTTGCATATGCTTACAACTCCGTGTCACTAATGCTTGTAGGCATTTTTAGCAATGCAGTACGTGTCTATCATTATAAGTTGTAGCTATATAATGCAATATTAGGCTCGTATTTCACACATTTCGAATAAAGTATTTTACACCTTCCTGGCTCGAGTGCTATTCAGTTCCTTATATTTATTATTCATTCATCATTTAACATTATTCATCATTTAACATAGTATTTGAGAACCCTAAATATACGCCCGTTTGCTCGGTGATGGCGACTGCTGGAGTTTTACTTCGACTTGGGTAATAGGATATATTGAATGTCGCTGTCATTGGTTAATTAATGATTAAAATATTTAGCTTTTTATTTATCGATTATAACTCGTGTCAGGTGAGAATTCAGTTCAAAAAGTATGATTTTTGTTGTCTGCAATCCGTTCCTAAATATAATGTGTATAAAGAAAATTCTGTTCATAGTGAATGAAATTTGATCATGCGAGAAAAAGCTTCAGGAGGCACGTTTAATTTATTACTGACACATCAGACAATTTTTGTTCGAGTACAGTATCAGTAGCCAGACAGAGACGTGTAGACTCGATCTCTGGGCCTTGAGTGTCCAATACAATTTTGGAAAGCGTAGTAATACAACACGCCTTGTGCGACCATCTCGCGCGTATGCTCATTAGCATAATATGTTGCTAGTGTGCAGTCTAGACTGTCCGCCTCTCTTTCGGACCCCTCATTCAGCTCTAATTTCTTCCCGCCCCGACTGAAACCTCAGACATAAAGCGTTTAGTGTAGTACATAGATGACGTCTTATATCGATAGTATCCACTTTTTTGGCTGGTCTCCTGGGTAAAAAAGGCAAGGATTATCGTGCATGCTGTACGTAGTGCCTCCAATGCACATGTTGCGGATAATGCCAATGCAGTGATGACCTGAGAACCTCTATAATACCTGGAATCGATTGTGCGCTCTCGGTACGAAGTTTTTTAATTCTTAAGGCAAGTAGTTATTTTTTAGAAGTATTGTAAATTCTATGGTTGTAAATAAATTCGAACACTATACATGGAACTACACAGCTCAATGACCTAGTACATTCATGTACTTGAATGATTATTGCTGTGTACACTGTTGTGAATTGTGAATGATTATTGCTGTTGAAGGGCAAGTTTAGAATTGATTTTTCAAATCAATTTTAATTAATGTCGATTAGGACTGTATGCGAATAAGACGGCTTTGCCCCATCCCTGACCTTAAAGGCGGTTGGCATCTTATGCACCTCGACCCAAAATGAAGGTTTGTATCCTGATTTGCCTGCTGCCGTGGGGCTAAAAATGAAAATAAAACATAATGCAGAAACGCCGTACCAAAGACATCATGAAAGCAAAGCAACAACTTCAAAT